CTTGGAGAAGGTTCTGACCAGTCTCCATGAAGGAGGGTTGAAGCTGTCATTAGAGAAATGCCAATTTTCTCAACCATCTGTTGATAAAACCATGACCATACATACTTTGGTCATGTTGTCTCTGCCGGAGGGATATCAACTTACCCACAAAATTGGAGGCTGTAACTTCCTAGCCAAGACCCAAAATGTGGCTAAGCTGTGACCATTTCTAGGATTCTGCTCATACTATCGGAGGTTTGTCAAAGGGTTTGCAAAGATAGCCTGTCCCCTCAATAATTTGTTGAAGAATGAGGAGGCAGAGAATGTGTCTGTTTGGTCACCTCCATCAGAAGAACGGACCCAGGAAGTCTCAGAAGTCAATTCAGGCAATGGATTAAGCAGTGCAAGCAGGCCTTTGACCAACTGAAAGGAGACTCATAAATGCCTGTCTTGGCCTACACAGACCCGAACCGGCCATATGAATTACATGTTGATGCCAGTCGGGATGGTCTTGGGGGAGTACTATATCAGGAACATGATGGACACCTGAGGCCTGTCGCATACATCAGAGGCCTCACTTCAGCAACACTCAACACCAACACTCCCTTGTACTAAAAGTCATGCAGCACCTCATTGATCAATTGATGAACACCAGGGAGGCCCCCTGTAAGCCAAAAGGGAGCACCTCGAACTGGAAACATCCCAGGGGGCAATTAAATGCTGTTTTCCATTCATCGCCCTCCTTGATTTGCACCCTGTAGTAAGCTTCCTGCAAGCCTAACAGTGAAGATTTATCCTTTGGCTAGATGTGCCAACATGTCCTTCATCAGCGGCAATGGGTAGACATTTTCTACGTACACCGCTTTTAGCCCCCCTATAATCAACGCATAGATGAAGAGTCCCATCTATCTTTTCCTGGAACAAAACTGGGGCTGCCACTCGTCACCTTACTGGTTGGATAAATCCATGTTTTAAGTTCTTGTCTATGAAGGTTCGAAGCTCTCCTAGCTCGCGTGGAATCATTGAGTAAAGTTTAGGCTTCAGGAGAATTCTCCAGGAATAATTTCAATACTGCAGTCCATGGAGCAATGGGGCAGAAGCGCATCAGAGCCTTTCTCACTAAACACATCTCTCAAGTCCCAGTACTCCTTTGGGATTTTGGATTCACTTATTGAGTGGTCCCGAGCTGCTGCCCCCAGCTTCCTTTGCCCTTTGTTTCTCTCACCGCTGGGTTTTGAGATCTTTTCCTCTTCCTTGGCCACTTTCTGCCGAATCTTCAAAAGCCCCCTCCTCCAATTTACTTCAGGGTTCCATTTCCACAGCCAAGACAGTCCAAGTAGGAGGGAACTCTCCATTCCTGGTGCCACTATAAAACTCAGAGTCTCTTTATGCTTTCCCATTTTCATCTCTACTGGTTCAGTTATAAAGTGAGCTGGGTCCCCTCCAGCTACAGTTCCATCTAGCTGGCAAAAAGCTATGGGCATTCTCAGCCATTTGAGTCTCACTCCCAGCTTTTCAATGACTTCAGGGCTGACTGGATCTAGTGCAGCCCGAGTCCAATAAAGCCAGCATCCTTCCTTGGGCCCCTGAAGAGGGCACCACTAACTCCACAGGGAAGTTACAGGGGTCACCTGCCGACTTACTCAGGAATCATCATCGCCGTCGCTGTTAGCCTCACCCGAGTTGGTTGGAGTTCCCAACCCCTCAGAGCCAGGAGGGGTGAACTCTACGACCTCCAGACCTTTCAGCACTGTCTCTCAGGTCCTTAGAGATGGTTTTATTGCCTCCTCCCTTGGGGTTGCTGTGGTGCTGAGGTTGGGTCTGCTGGATTGATATGCTGCAACTTGATGCCTTCCCCCCCCCCCCCACGTCTGAGGCACATTGTGCTCCTGGGGTGTTTCTTACAAGTGGGAAGGAAGGACTCACCTTGTCTGCTGGTCCCCCAGCATCAGTCCTGGGCAAGGTTGATCTCCACTTCTGCTGTCAATACATACCAGCATTGTAGGGTTTGTGGAGCCCTGTGCAAGATGCAGGTGTGGTAGATGTCATCATTGAGGCCATCTTTGAAACACTCAATGAGGATGTTTTTGGACCATGCGGCCAGCCGGCATGCCACCTCTCAAAACACCTGGGTATATGTGTGCACTGACCGTCGCCCTTGGGTGATGGTATTTATCTAGATCCTAGCCTTGCATTCAACCAGTGGGTCCCCAAACTGTTGGCAAAGGGCTGCCATAAAGTGGTCATAGTTCCGCAGTTGGGGGCATTGCCATTGTGGAGAGAGACCATCCACTCCGCTGCTACCCCCTCCAGGGCCATGGTTACTCATCTTATCCAGGCTTCTGCCAGCTCCAATTCGGCCCCATACTCCTGCATGAAGTTCCAGACTTGCACCAGGAAGAACCCCAATTGCTCAGGATCTTCCTCATATTTAACACCCAACACTGGGACCTTTGGGGCCTGGGGCCTTCAAGAAACGGTCTCTGCAGGCTGAGTGGCTTGCGCAGCTTGGTCTGGGGCGACCCAGGGACCTTGAGAAGCTGCTTGTGCAAGAGGCTCTTGGGCTCTTTGACTCCCCCTAACCTGTTATATCAGGAACAGGGCCTGGTTCAGCATGACTTCCTCTGGGCTTCTCTCCAGGGGGGATCTTCCCTTTGCCCTACGCCCCTCGCCCACCTGAGCCTGATAGGCTTCTCGCTGAAGTCCAGCTCCTCTTGCCAACCAGCCACATGAATACCATCATATCATGTGACCTGCTGGGAAAATACTCACCCCACCACGTGACTTGTCTGCTGAGAGGAGACTGACCACCATGACACTATGTGACCCAGGCCAGTAGAGATTCCTGAGCAAGGGACCAGTGTGGACCAGCGGCCATACTAAGAGGGCCAGGAGATCCCGGACTCCACTGGCCCTTTCCAGGGTAGCACTACACTTGTATTAACCAGGTGCTTAATCCAGCACTTTCTAAAAAATAGCTATTGAGGACCTTTTGGTATCTTTGGTTGCACAGGTAGTCCTCACTTACCACTTCTTCCCTGAGCTTCAAAGTTACTATGGCACAGTAGAAGCAGATGTGCACCTGGTCCACAAAATTTGTGGTAATCCTAGCATTTGTTTAGTGACCGCATGTCAGCAGTGAGTGTGATTTTGAAGGTGCAGGAAAAGGAGTTACACCAACTCGGGTTCTGCCAATAGTTGCACAATTATGATGGCAGCAACATCCCACACTCTTGATCCCAATTTGTGACCTCCCCAGCTAGCTTCTGACAAGCAAAATTGTTGGGTATGCTGCAGAGGTGGGTTTCAGCAGGTTCTGAGCAGTTCTGGAGAACCGGTAGCAGAAATTTTGAGTCGTTAGGACAGTGGTCGGCAAACCATGGCTCGCGAGCCGCATGCAGCTCTTTGGCCCATTGAGTGTGGCTCTTCCACACTCGTGATGCCCTGGCCAGCTGTGCTGAGCCAGGAGCGTACGCACGCGCAGGGAGACCCTCCTCAAGCGAGCGCCGAAGCTCAGGAAAGGTGTACGCAGGGTGGGCAGCGGTTTGCTTAAGGAGGGTCTCCCCACGTGTGCACATGCTCCCGGCTCAGCCACAGCCGGGAGCATGCGCTCTGAAGAGCTCCTGTGAGAAGCGGCACGGTGGAGTAACAAGACCCCTCCCACCCACCCAAATGCCGGGCTCTTGCCCAGGTACGGAGGTGGAGAAAGAAGAGACGGAATAAGGCTACCAAGAAAGCATCTACCACAGCTAACCTCCTTCGCCAAGAAGCCGAACTGTGAAACCAGAAGTTTAGCGAAGTGGATTAGAATGACGCCGCAGGAGGAACTCCCTGTCCCATCCTGTTAAGACCCTCCTAATTGAGCAGCTGCTCACCCCGCAGGTGCCTTTGCTGTGCTTTGGTGCTCGTTTGGGAAAGGTCTCCCCACCCATGCACACACTCCTGGCTCAGCCACAGCCATCCAGGACATCACAAGAGGAGTGGGAGGAGGAGGACGGTCACCCGAAGGGAGTGGGAGAGACACAGAGAGAGAGAGATGGGGGGGGGAGAGAGAGACATAGAGACACATACAGAGTGATATATAGAGAGGGGTGAGAGAAGGGAAGAGAGGGAGAGATACAAAGGGAGAGAGACATGGGGGAGATAGGAAGAGGGGAAGAGAGACAGAATGGTTTTGTGGCTGGGTAGGCGTGGCTAGGGGGGTCATGTGACTGGGTGAGTGAGTGACATCGAGTTGGCCACGCCCACCCAGGTTTTGTGGCTTCAGTGTGTTTCTTTTCTGTGGGAAACGGGTCCAAGTGGCTCTTTGAGTGTTTAAGTTTGCCGACCCCTGAGTTAGGACAACTGGTAAATATCACCTCTTCGCCCCCATCTATTCTCTGCCTCCTGAGTCCTAGCTGATCAGGAGGAAATGGGGATTTTGCAGTGACCTTCCCCTGGAGTGGGGAGGGAATGGAGATTTTACAGTATCCTTCCCCTGCCACGCTCACCAAGCCACACCCACCAAGCCATGCCATGCCCACCAAGCCACACCAACTGAACCGGTAGTAAAAAAATTTGAAACCAACCCATTGGTATACTGGCAGCAGGCTTTCAGCATAATTTCATCAATTAAAGCCTCAACATCTCTAAATTTAGCTCAGAAGATTTGACTGTAACCATTTTGGGACATTTTATCAGGCTTGAAATATTCTCCATGTATATCTGTATTTCTCTCTGTAGGGATGTCTGAAATTATATAAGCTATCCCCAGCACTTCAAGATATAATTGATGATAGTCCTTTGCATTGCTAAGAATTTATGATTGACCCAACTAAACAACTGAATTTGTTTGAATGCTTATTTGAACATAGATCTCAGTAGTATTCCATGTGTCAAATGAATCATAAATAAAATAAGAGACTATTCATGCATTGGGACATGTTTGCTTTTTCATTGTAATATGTTATTTTTTCCTTTTTCACATCATCTCTAACCATTTTATAAACAATTAAAGTTACACTTTTCTTTGAATCTTACAGACAAAGAGGATGGCAATAAGAGCACTCCGGACACCTGTCAATAACCAGCAATGTTGAAAAGAGAAAAAAATCAAGCCAGAAATCAAAATATTTTCTATTTCCTTCAGAAAAACACACAATTCTCCTCCTTCAGCAGCTGTTAGACAAAAGAGAGAAAATCAAGAAAGATTTCAAGATGGAATAAGCAGATTATGCAGAACTCAAGGATACATTACATGAAAAGTGAAAGGAGATTATTTTTCAATCAGCAAAAATGGTAAATATCTGGAAATCAGTGGGGAGGAAAAGATCAATAAGGGAAGTCACGTAGAACAGAGATGAATGTAGCCACACCCTGTCAGGAAGAAAATGGCTTGAATGAAAGCACCATTAAACAAGGCATTATCCATATTTTTGACCTCCTCAAGAATATCAGCTGTGGAAAAGCTCCATAGATTTGCCTATTATGGGAAAAGCACAGATTCCAAATCACAGCTGATTATGCAACAAGGAGCTAGACAGGAGAAAAGCCATACACATTATCTCAATGTAGCAAAAACTAGTCAGAACAGCTCCCTTGTGGAAGCAACCACACAAGAGGGAAGTCATAAAAGTGCTCCCAATGCAATAAATGCTTTAGTGAGCATGGCAACATGGTGATACATCAGAGGACTCGCTATAGGGAGAAAACGCATGACCGTGTAGATTGTGTGAAAGTTTCATTAGAAATTGCCAGGTCATGAGGCACTAAAGGACTTATACACAGGAAAAAAACCATTTGAATATCCTTTCTGTGGGCAAAGTTTCAGTGAGAATTCCAATCTGGTGAAGCACCCAAGACTCACACAGCAGTGAAACCCATTGAATGTCTTGACTGTGGGAGGACTGTGCGTCGTCACAGCAGCGTCACTTGATGTATCGTGACTTTTCCCCTTTGCTAAAATGGGCATGGGCGTAGCCAGTGTGTGACGCATCTAGCCAGTAGGCTGCGATTTTGACTGGCCTGCACTTGAGGAATCCCAAAGGAGAAAAACCCTTTCAATGTCCTGACTGTGGGAGAAGTTCCAGTCATAATTCCAGCCTGGTAAATACATCAGAAGATTCACTCCATGGAGAAACCCTATAAGTGTCGAGGTTGTGGGAAACGTTTCATTAGAAATTCCCACTTGATGATACACCAGAGGATTCACAAAAGAGAGAAACCCTTTGATTGTCCTATCTGTGGGAAATGTTTTAGTGATAATTCCATGCTGGTGAGACACCAGAGGATTCACACAGGAGAGAAACCCTTTCAATGTCTTGATTGTGGGAAATGTTTCATTACAAATTCCAACCTCATGAGACACCAGAGGATTCACACAGGAGAGAAACCTTTTCAATGTCTTATCTGTGGGAAACGTTTTAGAGATAATTCCAGCCTGGTGACACACCAGAGGACTCACACAGGAGAGAAACCCTTTGAATGTCCCGATTGTGGGAAAACTTACAGTCAAAATTCCCAACTCATGAACCACCAGAGGACTCATACTGGAGAGAAACCCTTTGAATGTCCAGATTGTGGGGAAAGTTTCATTAGAAATTCCCACCTCATGAGACACCAGAGGACTCACACAGGAGAGAAACCATTTGAATGTCCTGACTGTGGAAAAGGTTTCAATCAGAATTGCGAACTCATGAGACACCAGAGGACTCACACAGGAGAGAAACCATTTGAATGTTCTGACTGTGGAAAAGGTTTTAGTCAGAATTCCCACCTCATGAACCACCAGAGGACTCACACAGGAGAAAAACCTTTTGAATGTCCTGACTGTGGAAAAGGTTTTAGTCAAAATTCCCATCTCATAAACCACCAGAGGACTCACACAGGAGAAAAACCTTTTGAATGTTCTGATTGTGGAAAAGGTTTTAGTCAGAATTCCCACCTCGTGAGACACCAGAGGACTCACACAGGAGAGAAACCCTTTGGATGTCATGATTGTGGGAAATGTTTCATTACAAATTCCCACCTCATGAGACACCAGAGGACTCACACAGGAGGGAAACCCTTTGAATGTTCTGATTGTGGGAAATGTTTCATTACAAATTCCCACCTCATGAGACACCAGAGGACTCACACAGGAGGGAAACCCTTTGAATGTTCTGATTGTGGGAAAAGTTTCAGTGAAGATTCCTATCTTGAAATACACCAGAGGACTCAAACAGGAGAGAAACCCTTTGAATGTTCAGATTGTGGGAAAAGTTTCAGTCGAAATTCCTATCTCATGGATCACCAGAGGACTCACACAGGAGAGAAACCCTTTGAATGTCCAGATTGTGAGGAAAGTTTCATTAGAAATTTCCACCTCATGAGACACCAGAGAACTCACACAGGAGAGAAACGCTTTAAATGTCCTGACTGTGGAAAAGGTTTCAGTCAGAATTCCCACCTCTTGAGACACCAAAGGACTCACACAGGAGACAAACCCTTTGAATGTCCTGATTGTGGCAAAAGTTTCAGTCAGAATTCCCACCTCATCAACCACCAGAGTACTCACACAGGAGAGAAACCTTTTGTATGTCTTGACTGTGGGAGAAGTTTCAGTCGAAATTCCCACCTCATCTATCACCAGGGTACTCACACAGGAGACCAATCTTTTGAATGTCTTGACTGTGGGAAAAGTTTTAATCAGAATTCTTACCTGGTAATACACCAGAGGACTCACTCCATGGAAAAATCTTTCTAATGTCCAGTCTGTAGACATTACTTCAAGCATGTTTTTGTTGTTCGTTGCGAAGTCGTGTCCGACACATTGCGACCCCATGGATAACGTTCCTCCAGGCCTTCCAGTCCTCTACCATCCTCTGGTGTCCATTTAAGCTCACGCCTACTATTTTAGTGACTCCATCCAGCCCCCTCGTTCTTTATTGTCCCCTTCTTTCCCAGCATTAGGCTCTTCTTCAGGGAGCCCTTCCGTCTCATTAGGTGGCCAAAGTATCTGAGTTTCATGTTCAGGATCTGGCCTTCTAAAGAGAAGTCAGGGTTGATCTCTTCTAGGACTGACCAGTTTGATCGCTTTGCAGTCCAAGGGATTCGCAGGAGTCTTCTCCAGCACCATAGTTCAAAGGTCTCAATTCTTTGGCGCTCAGCCTTTCTTATGGTCCAACTTTTACAGAATTTTCACTTCAAGCATGAACCGTCCCTTATTGCACACAAGGAAATCCATATGGGAAAAAGTAGGTGAGTTTAGAGAAGTCCTGAATTTCATTTCTGATCTCCCATTGAAAGTGTAGGTGAGAAATTGACTATTTGAATTCTGGCCTGATTCTTTTTACTCAAACTTTTCTCAGGATTAAATTTGTAGGTGGAGAGAAAAGGAAAGCGGAAAATGGCTAACTACCAGATTCTGGTTATCAGGAGAATCTTCTGGATATTTCCTTTTGCAGAAGAAGTAGAATTCCTCAAAAAGGAATTTTGGATGGAGCTTTTGTATTTTCATTATGAACCCACACGTGGAGTTTCAATCTTCTAACTTGGTTTCACCCAGATTTTAACCCCAGAATTCCCTAGCCAGCATAGAAGTAGTCCTCAAGATACAACTATTATGGGACTTGCAATTATGATTGCATGTTGCAACGGCCGTTAAGTGAGACCGCTTTTCTTAACTGCCCGAGGCAGCTATTAATTGAATGTGCAAGTCACTAAGCAGAACACTGGCTACCTCGATGCAGGGGAAAACTGTTGGAAGCCTAGCTCAGCATCATGATGCTTGCCTGCCATAGGCATCCCTAAACCTTCCCAACCCTCCAAGACCCCCTGTGCTCTGTTTCCTATCCCTTGTGTCCCCTCGGCCCTTCACTCCTCCACATGGTCCTCCCACTCCTTTCCCTCCTCCCCAGGGTCCCCACAGGCCTCCTTTCCCCAAGGATCTCCTTAAGCCTGACTCTATCCCTCCAGACTTCATACCCTCCACCTCCTTACCTTTGGAAGATCTCTGATCCTCATGTTGGGGAAGGAGGGGAGGACACACATCCCTGGGACATATGACTGTGTCATGGAAGCGGCTATCATTTTCAGTGGGCCCTGGATTTGTCCCTGGGTCAGGCAGTGGACTTGTGGAAGCGGCTGCTATTTTGCCACAGTTTGCACTGTTGCACAGAAGATGGACAAAACTCTGTGTTTGGCTACCTTAACATGAGGGGGAAAATGTACAGTAGAAAATGTTCTTTTTTAAAAAAATGCATTATATTACCTTTATCAGTAGCTTTTAACATGTAAAAATGGTTATTGTCAGTGTTGCTATGAACATTAGGGCAAGGCAAAATGCTCAGATTTACCTCAAACTGTGAAAGTTTAATAATGAATGAATGTAATAGGTAATGTAAAGCTCATTTCCCAACTCTTGCTCAGTGGTTGAGGACTCCACACATACAGTGGGTTTTTAATGCACTATAATTGTTAACTTGTAATCTCTCTCTTCTGCATTTTGCATCTCTAAGGTCTCCATGATGGAGACAGTGGGTAGACACAAATATCTCAAAACGCCTGGTGGTGAATTTTTTTAACAAGAAGAACTTGGCTGATCAGTCTGAAAGCTGCTCCGGAGTGTGGGACTCTAGAGTATTTGGAGATGCCTATGCCCCCCTCTTGATTCTTCAGGGGTTGTGTCAAGAGAACAAGAGGTAATAGTACTGCTTCACACTATGCTAGTCCTAAATCCTTGGGAACCACAGGAAATCAGTCATAAAAGTTTAGGATCTAGAGAGGTAATCTTTACTGAGAGCCAAACCCCTACAAAAGTGCAGGAATCTATTGATAGGCTTTCAATCTGCAAACTAACACCCTCCAAATATTCTGCTCAGGAATACTCAGGTCTGATTTCTTACTCTGGAAATTGGGAAGACTGCTCTAGCGAGATTCACTCCCCAATAATACAGATGGGGAATTAATGTTGCATGTTCCTTTATTCTATTAATGGAATCAAGCTAGCAATAATTTAGGGATTCTGCACACAAATAAGTGCTTGATGAGCTTTTAAGGCCCAGAAACTGGTTAATGTTGAAAAGCTAAGTACAGTCAAGGTTCCATCTTCAGGTTTCTGTCTCTTGCAAAACTAAGTGTTCATGAGTTGTTCTGCGCACGCACACCCCACAATAAATAAGTGGCTGGACAATCTTCACCAATCCTTAAAGGAGGTGTGCTTTGACTGCTGTATGCATATAGTGCTCCCCGCTTCTTTCCCTTGATGTGGTCTTCGCTTCTTGCATGGGGAGCTTCTTGCTCTTTTTCTGTGCTGATGAGTGAATCCTTGGGAGGCCTAAACAAATAAATTAGGAACAATCATCATGGAGAAATTCTATTGATGGGATAACTGGAGTGAAAAATGACTAGATGGTGCATAATCAATGAAAAAAATCATGCAGCTGCATTAGGTAGAGATGGAACTACGTGGTTTTTTTTTAAAAAAAATTTTTTTTGATTTATATGCCGCCCTTCTCTGGAGACTCAGGGCGCGTTACAATGCGCTAAGCAATAGCCTTCATTCTTTTGTATATTTATACAAAGTCAGCTTATTGCCCCCACAACTGGGTCCTCAATTTACCTACCTTAGAAAGGATGAAATTTGAGTCAACCTTGAGCCTTGGCGAGATTCGAACCTGCAGTAATTGCAGGCATCTGGTCTTAATAATCAGCTTAATAACAGGGTGCCTTAGACCACTGTACTACCAAGGTTCTTTTAAGTTTAAGTTTAAAACTTAATTAAGTTTTCAGCTTAATGTCATTAAATGGCACACTACAGATAAGCAATGGCCACAATAGAAAACTGTAGACTAGAGTACAGGAAAACATTGGTAATTGAGGCCAAAAGAGTTGGCCTCAAAAAAAAAGAGTTTAAACATTTGAACAGTTGATTCCAAGAGAGGATTTGGAAGAGAAAAGGAGAACAGCAGGAGAGCTTCCTCTTTCGGCTCTCCGCTGCGATGGGTGAGGTAGGAAGGGAGGCCTCCTGGTCTTCCCAGGGTGGAAGCAGCAGCTGAAAGGTGGTGGAGAGCCAGAAAGCAAGTAGGGCTGTTTGGGTTTCCCCAGGGTGTAAAAACGGAGACGCAACGAGGCTGAAACATGTCAGCTGCTACATATTCCTTCCCTCCCCAGATTGTATTCCACAGATGATGCATACTTTAAAACTAGTGCTTGAGTTTTTCTTTGTGTTGGGAGTTTTAAAAGGTCTCCTTCATGTTAAGGCTGACTCCTTGTAATTTTATGGGCACATTCGTTTTTTGGCAACAATTTGGAACTGATCTGCCAGTGCTGTCTTCAGGAATTTTGTTTTTACTTCTATATCTAGCAAACAAACACAGGGTTTTCTGGTGGTGTGCCATCCATAGACTAACATGGCACAACTGTGCTTAACCCACAACTTTTTAAATAAGTCATTATTGAGCCCATTTGTGAAGTCCTGTTTTATAGGTAGACCTACCTTATGACTTATCACTCAGTCTTCAAAGCTACATTCACAACTGACTTCTAACATACAAAATGAATTGGAAATTGACAGGAAGCTGCAAGTCACAGCCATGTTTACACTGCACTGAGGAGACCACAGTGATTCACTTAATGACCACAGCCAGAACAGTTGTTGTAAGTTGGCATAGTTATGTGATGTCATAGTTAATGACTATGCCATTTAGGAATGGACTTGCTGGTCCCAGTGAGGTGAGGACTACCTGAATTGGGTTGTCATCAGTGTGATTGTGGACAGTATTTCTTGCCTATTTCTTATTTGGAATGGTGGACTTCCATGGGCAAGCATGGTCCTTTCAATTTTACCGAGGCTCTTGAGATCATTTCATCAGTTAATCCACCCACCCATCTACCCCCACCCCTCTACATTTAGATCGAAAAGTGTGAGTTTATCCACATATATGTGTATATGTATGATCTGTCCCCAGCACTTCCAGAATCCAGATATATTTAACTCTTTGCAGTTCTATGAATTTGTGATTGATCCAAGTCAGTAAGTAAATTTCCCAATTGAATGGGTATTTGAATGTAAGGGATTAAATTAGCATTTTGGCATCTTTGATATGTTTTACTGTAATATACATGCTTTTGGCTCTTATATTTTTTGAAATGTTGTGTAGCCATTTTATAAACCATAATTAAACTAACCCTTTTATGTGAATCTTGCAGGCAAAAGAATGCCAGTGAGAGCACTGTGGAGAACTGAGAATCACAAGCAGCCTTAAAATGCCCAGGAAACCAAGGCAGCAATCAAAATCTTACTAGTTCCTCTGGAAAACCCCAAAACTCTTCTTCCCCAGCAGGTAACAGACAAGGAGAAAAAAACTAAGAAAAGAGTTCTGAGCTGGACAAAATAGAGTTTGTGGAAGAAACATCAAAATATCAAGGGAGATCAATTCCTAGTTCAAAAAAAAGGGAAATAGCTGGAAGTCAGTGGGAAGGAAAAGGTCGCTTGGACAGCCACATAAGGCAGACAGTAATGCAGGTCTCATTCTGTGAGGAAGGAAACAGTAGCTTGAATCAAAGTCCATCCAAGAAGTAATTCAGAGTATTTTTGATATCCTTGTTAGTCCAAGAATATCAGTAGTGGAAAAGATCTACAGATCTGACTATTGCGGGAAAAACCCAGATATTGTAGATCACAACTGATTATGCCCGAGAGGATCGACATTGGAGGAAAGCCATATCAGTGCTCCCAATGCAAACAAAAGCTTTGGTCAGAAGAGCTCCCTGGTTTTTCATGGATGGACTCACACCAGAGAGGAGCCAGTTCAATGAGTAGATTTTGTGAGTAAAAAGATCCAGGTTGGTGTAGTGGTGAAGGCACCAGGTTAGAGACCAATAAATACTCAGTTCCAGTTCTGCCTTAAAGTGTGAAACCATCTGTGCAACTTTTGGACAATCCTATCAGGCCTAGGTCTAAAAGCAGCAAAGGAAACGGCTTGCCTAACTTAAAAGGCACCAAAACCAAACATCTGGTGTAAGGCTCAAGGATGCTGGATGAAAAGCCCCCATCCAGCAAAAACAAAAACGAAAGAAAGAAAAGAGTTAGGGTTAGGTCATAAATTAGTGTTAAAATTTAGCAGTAGGTCAGACATAAGGACACCTTCCATAAACTATGGAATATTGAGAAGCAAAATGTATGTCACGATAGGTAGGTAGGCTGTCTGGGGGACATTTACCCTGTAAATTACAGCATGATACCCTGTGCTTTGTATGCCATTATGTGTTCCTGAATGAAAAGGAAATCAATAAAATTTTGGGGTTATTTTATTCCAGATTCCTTCACACAACAGAGTTCAGAGCCAATATCATCAAAATAGAATAGAACTGGAAGGGACCTTGGAGGTTTTCTAGTCCAACCTGCTGCTCAACAGGGAACCTTATACCAGTGTTTCCCAAACTTGGGAACTTTAAGAAGTGTGGACGTCAACTCCCAGAATTCCCCATCCAGCATGGCTGGCTGTGGGATTTTGGGAGTTGAAGTCCATACATCTTGAAGTTCCCAAGTTTAGGAAACACTGCCTTATACCATTACAGAGAAGTGACTTTCTAGTCGCTTCTTAAAAACCTCCAGTGATGAAGCACCCACAACTTCTGAAGCCAATTGGTTCCACTAGTTAATTGTCCTTACTGTTAGGAAGTTTCACCTCAATTCCAGGTTTCTTCTCCTTATTTTCCATCCATTGTTTCTTCCCTTGCCTTCTCTGGCTTTGGTAAATAAGTTGACCTCCTGCTCTTTGTGGCATCCATTCAAATACTGGAATATTGCTGTCATCATCATCATCATCATCATCATCATCATCATCATCATCATCATCCATTTCTTATTAAATCTGTATTAAAATGGCATTGTAGGGTGTCCTTCTAAAAAGTTTAGCCTGGTGATCAATTAGCCATGTGGTTTGATTGGCTATTCTACTTTGCCTTTTATTTTTTTTAGGAATCTTTTTTTGGAAACATTTCTACCAAATATAGACTATCACTCCTTCTTTTTTAGATTCTATTTTCTAGAGCCTGCTACATATTTTTCGCTCTATGTGACCTAATGGAGACTTCCATGCAGACCAATTTACAAAAGCACATGGCATTTAGTTAGCAAAATCGGGAATGAAGAGACCTAGTGCTCTTGGATGCAGCCCTGGCCAACATAAGTGAAGTTGGCTGTCTGGCCAGATGGTGCTCCCATATAATAAATCAATGGGACCCATAGGAAATCAGTCATAAAGTTTTGGGATGTAGGGAGATTTTGATCTTCACCAAGTGTCACCCCTAAAAAAGCTGATTGTGTGATTCTGTAAAACCTCCATGAACTTTTAGGGCTCAGCACTAGCTAATCTTCCTAAACTAAGTAGCCTCACATTTCATTATTTCACTTGGCTCAGCAGTCGGTTGCTAGAAGTCAAAACCGACTTGATAGCATTTAATCAGTGAAAACATCTTGCAAACGCTTTAGGCAGTAGAGACGGAACAACCTTGTTTTTCTGCCTCCTATCTGGAGGTGGCGATCAGGTAGGCAACCCCTGTGCCTGAAAAGTGCATAATAAAGGAGTTAAAACCGTAGAGTACTAGATTGCTAGAAAAGATGGGAGGAGAGGAGAAGCGCAGAGCAACTTCCTCTTCCGGGTCAGAGGAGTAAAGGAGTGCAGAGCGGCTTTTCTGCTCTTCCCAGGGTCGAAGCAGCAGCTGCCGGGTGAGTGGAGGGCAGCAGGTGGGAGGAGAGTCCGGGAGCAACTTGGGCTGGAAGCGGAGAAGCAACTGGGCTGAAGCCTCTCAGCTGCGGCTGCTGCAGGTTCCTTCCCTCCCCAAATGGAAGCCCACTGGTGCTGCAGGCTGGGAAACTGGGGGCTGCAATTTCTGCTGGTGGGAAGCTTGAAAAAGTCTCCTTCCAATGAAGGTTGAGCCTTTGGGGCTGGTTTCCCTCCAGAGGTTGTGGCTGCTCCGTCCCTGGAGGGTTTGTAACAGAGTAAAAGAGCTGGAAAGGACCTTGCAGGTCTTTTATTCCTACACCCTGCTCAAGCAGGAGACCCAATATCATTTCAGATAAATGGCTGTCCAGTCTCTGTTTAAAATCCACAATAATAAACAATAATTTAACTACCAGTTTTCTGCCCTAATGACCATTTTAAGTATATAAAACCGATACTAAGTCTTATTTCCAGGGGATCATGCCTTACTTGAGTGGGGTGGCGGGGGGGGGGGGCTGCGTATAATTCAGTGCCTGGCGCCCAGATGGCCTCACTTAAGCTTCTGTATATTTGATACCACGGACAGTACAAATCTTATTATCTGTGTTAAGGTTATAGAAAATAGCAGACTTAACAGAATGATGATGGTAGTATATATTTTATATAGTTTGTCCCAAATTCAAACGTTATCATTTAACTATTGGGTGCAGAGACATTGGGCTCTTCCTTACGGCTGAATTAAACTCCTATTCACTACTGCTTGAACTAACAGGAAAGTATACCAATTTAACATGTATTGTTCCAGTGCCAATCTAATCCACTATAGTAATGAAGCTGATGACCAACACTATTTTTACTATTTTAGTGTCAAATTAAGGAGACATTGGCGCAGGGGAAGCCATGTTAGCCTATAGCAGTGGTTCCCAAAGTGGGCGGTACTGCCCCCTGGGGAGCGGTGGAATAATAATAATAATAATAATAATAATAATAATAATAATAATAATAATAATAATAATAATAATAATAATAATAATAATAATAATAATTTTATTTCTATATCGCTCTTCTCCCGAAGGACTCTGGGCGGTGTACAGCCTATTAAAAGCACAAAGACAGACATCAATTTAAAAATAATTAAAATTATTAAATAATTTCGGCTCAGATTTAAAACCCCAAATTTAAAACACCCAATTTAAAATCATTACATTGATAGCCCGGCCTGGCGGAACAGCAGGGTCATGAGGGCACAGCGGAATACACAGAGGTCAGAGATCTTATGCATTTCCGGGGGCAGTTCATTCCACAGGGCAGGGGCTCCCACAGAGAAGGCCCTCCCCCTGGGTGTCGCCAGCTGACATAATTTGGCCGATGGCACCCTGAGGAGACCCTCTCTGTGGGAGCGGACTGGCCGGTGGGAGGCTATTGGTGGCAGAAGTCGGTCTCGAAGGTACCTGGGTCCTATGCCATGGAGCGCTTTAAAGGTGGTGACCAGCACCTTGAATCGCACGCGGAAGACCACTGGGAGCCAGTGCAGCTCACGCAGGAGGGGTGTCACATGGCCACAACGAGTTGCGCCCATAACCACCTGCGCAGCCGCATTCTGGACCAGTTGGAGCCTCTGAGTGCTCTTCAAGGGGAGCCCCATGTAGAGAGCATTACAATAATCCAGCCAGGAGGTGATAAGGGCATGAGTGACCATGTGCAAGGCGTCCCGGTCCAGAAAGGGCTGCAACTGGCGAATCAGGCAAACCTGATAAAAAGCCCCCCTGGCCAAGTCCATCATATGCTCTTCTAAAGACAGCCAAGCGTCCAGGAGGACACCCAGATTGCGAGCCCTCTCTGTGAGGGGTAGAGATTCACCCCCAATAGTCAGCAATGGCACCAGCTGACTATACTGGGACGCCGGAAGCCACAGCCACTCGGTCTTGGAAGGGTTGAGTCTGAGCCTATTTCTCCCCATCCAGACCCGCCCGGCCTCCAGGCAGCGAGACATCACATCAAGGGCATCGTTGGGGTGGTCTGGGGTGGAGATGTACAGCTGAGTGTCATCAGCGTACTGATGGACTCTCATCCCAAAACCACGGATGATCTCACCCAGCGGCTTCACATAAATGTTGAACAGAAGGGGCGAGAGGACCGACCCTTGCGGCACTCCCTATGCGAGGCGCCTTGAGGTCGACCTCTGCCCCCCTGCCAACACAAACTGCAAACGGTCGGAGAGGAAGGAGGAGAACCACCGCAGGACGGTGCCCCCTATTCCTAATCCATGGTTGATGGTATCAAAAGCCGCTGAGAGATCTAATAGGACCAGGACAGAGGAGCAACCCCTGTCCTGAGCCCTCCAGAGAACATCCACCAACACGACCAATGCCGTTTCTGTGCTGTACCCCTGCCTGAAGCCTGACTGGTACAGGTCCAGATAGATAGCTTCATCCTGGTGCTGGGGAAGCTGTCGTGCCACCACACTCTCAACAACCTTCGCCACAACACGAAGGTTGGAGACCAGACGGTAGTTAGCTAATTCAGCCGGGTCCAGGGAAGGCTTCTTGAGGAGGGGCCTCACCACCGCCTCTTTCAAGGCGGCGGGAAAGGCATCCTCACTCAAAGAAGCACTTATAATCCCCTGGAGCCAGCTTCGTGTAACCTCCCGGGAGGCCAGAACCAACCAGGAGGGACACGGGTCCAATAAACATGTGGTGGCACTAATCTTACCCAGAACCCTGTGCACATCCTCAGGAGTCACAGGATCAAACTCCTCCCAGATAATATTCTCAAAACCTACCCTCGTCTCCTCCCCTGGACTCATCCAGTTGGAGTCCAAGTCTTCCCGAATCCAAGCGACTTTATCATGCAGGAATTGCACAAAAACCTCAGCTCGACCCTGCAAGGGATCTTCCCGCACTCCCCCCCCCGAAGAAGGGAGTGGGTCACCCTAAACAGAGCGGCTGGGCGGTTCTCTGCAGATGCGATAAGAGCGGAAAAATGGTTAGATTTCGCCGCTTTTATCGCCACTAGGTAGGTCTTGATATAAGACCACCAGTGTCCAGTCAGAATCAGATTTACTAGTCCTCCAGATGCTCTCTAGGCATCTTTTCTGATGCTTCATATCTCTCAGCTCCTTGGAGAACCAAGGAGCCAATTGAGATTGGCATCGGGTCAGAGGCCACAAAGGCACGATGCTGTCCAAAGCTCCGGCGGCCGCACTCTCCCAGGCGGCCACCAGGTCTTCGGTCAGGTCATATGCCAGGGTATCAGGAAACGGCCCAAGCTTCATCAGGAACCTTTCAGGATCCATCAGGCGCCTGGGATGGAACCATCTGGTTGGTTCCATCTCCCTGCGGCGGGGGGAAGCAGCTGGAAAGTCCAAGTGAAGGAGCGAATGATCTGTCCATGACAAGGGTTTAATGTCTAGGTCCCCTCTACCAAGATCATTCAATCACTGACCAGAGATGAAAATCAAGTCCAGAGTGTGTCCCCCTATGTGAGTGGGGCCTTGAACTAACTGGGTCAGGTCCATGGCCACCATGGAAGCCATGAACTCCCGAGCCACCTCTGACGTCTCACCTGCGGATGGTAGGTT